AAGGTCACCGGTAAAAGCGTCCCCGATGGAGTCTTCACGGGTTTGTTATGTCGTAGCAGTTCTGAAATCCTAGGTTTTAGCTAAGGGCTTCAGCCTTAGGGCGAAGTCGTCAAGCATTTGTCTGCAGATCGCTAGAAGTTGGCGAACAAAGGTTTCGTTTTTGGGTCTTCAGTAGAGGTCTCTCAGCAATCTCACAGCTTCTTTGTAACTAGAACATTCACTTATCTATTCCTAAACAGCCGGAGATATGTTATTAGTCAGAAAACTCAGTTTGTTCCGTTTCATACAGGCAAATATGCGAAACCACTATTTCCTTTGTTTGGAACGTCTGAAGCACTTGAATCCACATTGAATCGTTTTGACCCGAGAAATCGATCAATTCTTGAGTTATAAAATGAATAAAGTGTTGTAATCAGAATGGTCTCAATCAGTGAAGTAAGATAACGCAAACGAAATGGATAGAAGATTCAGCATAGAGGGGTAACCTACAGTTGGGCCTTACTCATCTTACCGTTGAAGTATTGGAACTAAGACGAGAAACAGAACAGTAGTAAATGGGATATAAATTGGTCAGGGCAATAAGATGGCATAACACCCTTGGGGTGTGGTTCAGTAAATGTCGTGTACGCGTATTTGTCTCGTATGAATTCCACCTCAAGTTTTAGTTTTTATTTCGCTTTGCCCGTGAAGAATAAAAATGCCAACGTGGACCTTGGAGTACTTATTGGTTTGCCTTCACCTGGTATTGGTTGAGCAATTTCCATTAGAACGTTCTTCTTTTCCGATTGGGTGAGGAACTTGTTTTTTAAGCCCCTTTACAACTATTTAAACTGCTTGGTTTGACTAACGTCTCAGTTGACGTTGATGTCAGCAAAAGCAGCCTTACCCTAAACTATGGCATACAACCCATTGCTTGAAGGTTCAAACCTTTCCGGAGGTTCTTAATGCATATTTTTTTATTTTTACACTTTAAAGAACCAGCTGCGTCAACCGAGACCGCACGGTCGATGTCGTCTGGTTCAACTTCCGCCATATCAACGGCATCCGAGGGCAATTCTGGTGAAGTTAGTTCGGCGGCTCGTCGACTCACCCACCGGCGGCCCAAGAGAGCCACAAATTCTTGTGCCAAGCGCATCTGGCAGTCGAATGGAAAACGGGCTTTGCGGGTGGACGACATTTTCGAAGAAAGGTATGTGAAATACCAATCTACTACAACAGGCCTTTGCACTTGTCGAGATCGCTTTTAAGAATACTTTGAATAATCTTTTTTTAAAACTCTACACTTCCATTACCAGCGGCTCGGACGTCTCAGAACTTTCAAAGCCCCTCCGCACTTATGCTGTCAAAGGAGATCACTCACCAAGCCGTTCGCAGCAGAGTGAAACGGACAACAGTGCCATCGATTATGCATCCCCCACTGACAGATCAGTTCGCACTCAGAA